GGGGCGGCCAGGGGGGGAGAGCGCCCCCCCCCCCCCGAGGGACCGGGGGTGAGGAGGGAGCGGGGGTCCCCCGGAGGCTGGGCCGCGGCGGCGTTGGCGGTAGCCCCCCCCAGAAAGATGCTTTTGGGGATGCCAGGCTCACCCCGTAACCCCGGCTGAAGACGGCAGCAGTGGGGCGAACCCCAGCTGTGAGGCGAACCCCGGTCGTGAGGCAAACCCCAACCGTGAGGTGAACCCCAACCGTGAGGTGAACGCCCGCCACAAGGCAAACCCCAACCGTGAGGTGAACCCCAACCGTGAGGTGAACCCCAACCGTGAGGTGAACGCCCGCCACAAGGCAAACCCCAACCATGAGGCAAACCCCAACCATGAGGCGAACCCCGGTTGTGGGGCGAAAGCAAGCGCTCGGCCCCGATCCCCTCCGGGCCGGCCAGCATCCCGTGATGGGACCTTCGCCTGGCACCGTGGGTGAGCCGGCAGTGGGGTCGGCGAGGGTGTTTTGGGGGAGATGCGGGTCTCGCCGCTTTTTCCCGGTGGTCCGCAGCAGTCCCGTACGAGGAAGATGGCAGGGACGTCACCTGCAATAAAAGCTGGGCTTGGAGTTCAGGCGGTGGTGCTTGCAAATGAAGTAATGCACCTAAACACAGAGTTTTTGTAACAGTTTGGGGCTTGCTTTTTGAACTTAAGTACTCTTAGTAAATATGGCGGAGGGCTCGGTTACTTTCTGCCGTTTTGTGGCCACACCAAGTTTTATCTAACCTTCTGAAAGCTTTAGAGAAGTAGACTTTATCAGGCCATTTTTGAAACTTTGAATAGGCTAAGTATTTGCTTTGGGGAGTTACAACTTACCATGAGCTGGCCTGCTGATAAGAATTTTAGCTGGCCTTGTTTAAGCGGGGGGGGGGGGGGTTGCTACAATTAAATTCATACCTGTGCCAACCCCCCTCTGTGTCGCTGCACTGCTCAGCCAAGCACAAACGCGCTCCCCTGCAACCTAAAACCATCCTGGAGGGGAAAACGCCTCATCCTGAAGTTGCTCACGGTTATACTTCTTGTGTGTGTAGACATGGCTGATAATGAAAGTGATGATAATGTGTCTATTTTTAGCCTCTGCCATTCCTTTGAGATGTTTTTGCCCTGGTGCCTTTTTTTTTTTTCTCCTAAAAAAAAAAAGTACGTTGTTTCAAACAACAAAGTCTTCTGTGTGATACAACCCAAGGAATTCTTAGAAGCCATATCCCAATTTGGAGGGCCAGAAAGCTCTGACGAAGGTTGAGCACGGCCTTTACAAACGCAGCAATGCCAGTGATTTTATTTCTGTGTTCTCCCTATCAAAATAGGAAGCGACAGTGAAATTTGTACTGCCAAACGTTGCTCTTCCAAAACGCAGCCTGCTTTCGGTACGGCCACGTGCTGGCGATACCTCACAAAAGATAAAGGCAGGCTTTACATTTGAGGTTTACTTTGCACTGCGTGCAAGCACCGCAGCCTGACCTGACTTCCTGTACGTAGCCCTTCTTTCCACAGCCCTGCGCTTCAGACGGCTTTATTCATTATTGAATGCAAGCAGGTTCAGAGGCACCGAAGCGCTTGCCTGTAGCGTTCTTTTCCCTCATGGAGGGTGGTGGGAGTTTATTTACAGCTTGATTTTGTGATTTTGCTCCAGAACAGATCAGCAGCGCACACTTCTGACGTCTTGCTGCTCCGTGCTCTGGAATAACGATACACATCACCGTACACACGACCCGTAGTATTGTGTCGCTTCATCCGAATAGAACTTATGTTTGAGTGCCAACTCGGGTGTTAAATCTCCTTGCCCGCTGTCTTCAAAGATGATTGAAGATGACAAAAGCCCCGTTACAGTTTGACTGTTCAGTTTAACTGAACGGTGGGAATTTTGCAGTGCTTTGCTATCTGCTAAACAAATCCCGTTAAACACTTTCAGTTTTGT